TTATTTTGAAACCATGACATTTTAAAACTTCCGTATACCTTAATACTGGCATCGCAATCCTACTTCTCTTTGACATTCCTCATCAGGTAAAGACTAAATAAAAAAATAAAACATTAATTTAATTTATTTTTTTGAGCAGTGCAGTGAGCTCCACGTTGCACACAGACTGGAAAGATGATTGCTCAGAGGCTTTTCTTTCTACGTGTCAAGTCCAACCATTTGCAGCCTGTTACAAATGGTTGTGCTTCATAACAGTATTTATCATTTTTAATTGTATGTCTTTGTCCTAATAAATGTGGCACCTTTGATTGTGCCAAGACACTTATTTTTTAATGTTTTATTTTCCCCATCGTATAAATGCAGTCTAATTAATGGTTGAGTTTTTCAAAAAAAAAAAAAAAGCTTAAAAAAATATTATGTTTCTGCAATAAAAGCTGAAATTATTTCCAAGCCTTTGACACATTTTACCAGGCGTGTCAATAACTGTGTGGAGGGGACTGTACGTCGTTCTTTTCTAACTGCTTCTGTGAGTGAAAGACATTCCTGTGACACTTTTATTACCCAGGAGTTAGGATGATGCAGAAGAATAATGTGACCCGTATGAGCCAAGGCAGTCAGATTGAGTCTGCTACCACACTCTCATGGTTCTAACTGCAGAGCACAATATATCCTATAGACCTTTTTCATTTTGCAGAGTACTTAAACTCTCAGTGCTAGGCTCGCTGTCTTAACACCTGGAGGCTACGTTCTCACCTGCTGCTGATACAATTGCAGCTCCTGTTCAAATTTCACACTTCAAAAGGCCTACCTTGGCCCCTGAAATACCTGCAGGACATGTCTAATATGATTCAGTGTTTTTTTCTATTGAGGTGAAGTAGGAGTCATTGCTGCCCAGTTTTAACACGGCTTGATTTGGTAAAAAAGTGAGGAAAGCCGAGTGATGGATTGAATGTCACTATCATATACTCTGATCATTATTCTAAATCAGGGGTGTCCAAAGTCAGTCCTCGAGGGTCGGCATCCTGCATGTCTTAGTTGTCTCCCTAGTGGTAGTAACAATCTCCTCAGCAAGTCAATGTTCTGCTTAGGCCTTCTATTAAGCCATCATTTAATGCAGGTGTGTAAACCCAGGGAGAGAACAAAAACATGCAGGATGCCGTCCCTCGAGGACCGACTTTGGACACCCCTGTTCTAAATAATTTAAAAAAGCCAAGATATTTGTGGTTTGAAAGAATGAATCGGACCTTGGCTTTAACACATTTTTACTTTTTGGTTTGATTCTGTCAGATTTAAAAACACATCAACTACTTTCCAGAAGCCAGGAACGATTTAAATGATGATCAAATACAAAATTTGTCAAGCAGAGAATTAAATCCCCAAAAGCAGCTTGAGAGAGTCCCACAGGTAATTGAACACATTTTTTACATCATATAACAAATAAAATGTAAGAATTATAAATTGTAGTCTGTATCTGTACCAATAACTACACTTTCATAAAGGGCTAGGAGAGGAATCCAGTAACAACATATTCTTTAACTTTTTTCTGTACTTTTGGAAAGAATGTGGGGGGG